TGGGGGGGGGGGGTCGATGGACATCTGGTGATAATATAAGAATATTATGATATTATCTTGAAGTTACGGTTTAATCTTGCTGCATTATGATATTAGTTTTATATAAAGCTATGATAGTGAGTTTTATGCCACAGGAAACCCAGCAGAGAGTCGTCGGTTTTACCGGCAGGAGGATACTGGGAGGGTTGATGGTAGTGGACTGATTCGTCCGCCTTGACATCTGGTGTAATAAAAATAATGATAAATGGCTTTTATTCAAGGAAAATTTGGCAATCCGAAGGCTGAATTACATGTTCCGCACATTTAAAAAAAAAAAGGTTAGTCCACACGTACCCAAAGCCTGTTGGGGGTCGCTATGTCCACAATCTAATAGGTGCCAAGTACATGTAGCTAAATTGGGTGCAGCAAAATGTACTCTTTAGCAGACCATCTCCCTTGGGATGTTATGTCTTTATTTTAGTATTTGGCCAATTTTACTGTGTCCAGCCTCCTCCCACAGGCTGGTAGAGGCTAAGTAGTAAGTGGCAGCACAAGCTGTATACCCTGTATAAGCTGTAAGATGTACAAAATGACTAATAAACTGGTGGATGTACCAACCACTAAGTATCTGATACCAGCCCAGAAAAGAACAAGAAACAGTCATGCCTTCAAATATCAGAGTTATCAACCGAGAATTGAGGTATTCAAAAACTTGTATTTCCCCAGAACTATCGTAGACTGAAACTCCTTGCCACCAAGCACAGTTGGGGCATCATCACTAGAAAGCTTTAAACAACTCCTGCGATCAAATGTGCAAAGATTGAGTGTAACAAGTCGTTTGGTATGATATAGCTAGCTGCCGCCACGCCGCGTGCCTGCGAAGCTGGTGTGTTACGCCGAAGGGCGGTTATACTGGCTATACAGATACAGAAGCTGGTGTGTTACGCCAAAGGACGGTTATACCGGCTATATAGATACAGATACAGATACCCACACTGTAGCTCCTGGACGTGTGTACCTCAGCTTCCTTCCCCAGGGCGCATGTCTGGTGCAGGTTGGACAGGAGGGTGTTTATGGCGTCCACCGGCCCGGCCCTCGACTGGATGTAAACAAACGTCTGATTGGGCGGCACGGTGAACAGGCAATCCTTGCTCTGGTTGGTCAGGAGGCGGCTCTTTCGGAAGATCCGGTAGATCTGGTCCTCGATGCGGTGCTGGAGCCTCTTCTTGGGCGAGTGTTTCGTGCCCTTACTCTTACCTGGATAGAGAGAAACATGAACATGAAATACCATGGGTATCCAGCCAATACTGGCTACTGGTAATACTGTAATCGCAATCATTTTGCAGCTCCCAAGGACCCAAATGGTCAATAGCACCCTTTCCTTCACAGTGCTTAAATCGCTTCTTGGGCGAGTGTTTCATGCCCTTACTCTTACCTGGAAAGAAAGAAACTTCAGCATGAAATACTCATAGGAAATTCAAACTCTGCTACAGGATAAATTACGGAGATGATTTCTGGAAGTTTCAAGTGACATCCACCACTCTTCTTCAGCGTCACTAATGAACTAGTGGATGTCACTCCAAGCGTCCGGAAATTATCTCTGCAATTTATCCAGTAGTATAGAGTTTGAATTTCCTATGAGTACTGCTTAAATAAATGGCTAACCTTCACCAACAATATCTTTTCCTACATAACATTTGGAAACTACAAACGGGGGTGTTAACCTTATATACGTGAATACAACCTTATATGAGACGTTCTGTCGAAGTGCACAGTACATTACGGGTTTTGCGCAGGTGAAGTACGTTCTGCCGACATGCTTACTCTTACCCGTCTCTGCATGTGCATCTGATCCCGTGGGCAGGCAGGATTTCTGGAACACAAACAGCAGCCTGGGCGTGCACGACCGCCCCGCGCTCTTCCACTCCGCTCCGACTGGCGCGTCACGGAGGACCTGCATGGATGGCTTATTTGATCATTTTGATTGGGTATGAAAAGTACATCGCAGCCATAGGCTGAACTGCAAACTTTTTACCCATGCACTGCAAGGAGTCTTGGGAGGCCAGAAGATCCACATAAGTCTCCACCTAGTCTTGTGTTCTCGCAAGACTAGGTCACTCCGTGATCAAGATTTACAGTGGATGTCGAAAATTTAGAGGTATGTGTTTGCTACCAACTACCAAAACAGTCACTGATTGATGATTATTCTATATACTAACTGTACTTTTTAAATATTTAAAAACTTGCCATATACAGTATTAGGCTCCTCACCAATTAGCGTTAATCTTATATCTTTCCTATTTAACAATATAAAACACTGTTGACCTCCTGCAGCACTGGCAGCATCTTGAGCCGGACGCTGTCCACAGTCCTGAGTATCTGTCCGTACGTCATGTCGAAGGTGCACGTGGGGTGCAGCGCCACCAGGATGTGGCACACGTGGAACAGGAACAGCAGGCCGCGCGCATGTCTCAGCTCCTGTGGAACAGCCACGATCTTTGTTATGATAATTATTTCTTTATTTCTATATGAAGATTTACCACATTTGTGGAGGGATTGACATAACAGGTGACTATCACCTCCTCAACCCCGAGACCAGACTGTGAGGTTTGAACCATTCACACCGAGAAGGTCCCCTACTCTTTTCGATAAGTGCGGTGGGTTCTTTAACGTGCGTAGGGTGTGGCTACATTTAATGTCCTATCCAAGGGACGTCCCTAACTGAAGCTAGGTACTCATCTACACCTGAGAGAAGGGAGGGAAGTCGTGTTATGTGCCTCCCAAGGGCACAAGAGCGGAACACGCTGATTTGGATCGTAGTCCATAGTAAGTAATATACATGTATAGACGCTGAGATACCACACCTGGTCCCGCCAGAACTTGTGCACGTCTGCATACGGCAAGTCCCGGTCCAGCTTCCCGCACAGCGACACCAGCATGGACGTGTCAAACACAGACACAAGGTGCAGGTAGATGACATTCTTGGACCTGTTGTAGCAGGCAAAAAAAAGACAGCTACTCAAGCATGCTAAATTTTGAGAGCCAGCTATGTATTACGCTGAATTCAGGCAGCCTCCCCATTATGTGTTATAATAAATTCTGGGTATACGTAGCTAGAACGCATTACGTGGAATTAAAACGGCGAATTACGCTCTACGCAAAATGCGCCAATTACACTCTACGTTGAATCAGAACGGTCCATCTACGCTCTACGTAGAATTGAAATGGCCGATTACGCTCTACGGAAAAGGGCTTGCACACTGACTTGTCGTAGAAGGCTTCTATGTAGGTGTCCTCCTGTGACTGAAGGCCGGCTCCATCCGGCCAGTGTAGGGGGAAGACTTCCCTGTCCAGGACTGTGTTGATGGTGGTGGACTTGGTGCCGTAGCCGACCTGGCTCTTCCCAAACATGCCCACAACGCAGACCTGAGGACAGGGGGAGTGTAATAAAAAATTAAAACGCATGAAAATTGGAAGAAGAGGATTCGGACCTGGAACAAGTCCATATTTGATTAAAAGGTAACGGGTGGTGCCCTAATTCCGACCCATCCCTAATACCGAACTAGTTTGAAAAATCCTTGTTGCGGCGTTATGCATGGGAGCACGTGCCTAAAAATAACCACAAGAATGGACATAGTTTTTGTGTTGATATCGGTAATCTCACAAAGTTTGTTGTAGTTCGTACACTCCGACAACAGACGAGTGAAAAATCTGTGTGAATTCGACGCTTGTTCGCGGGTTGACGAGCGTGTCAAAAATGCAGGTTTTGCTTTTCAAACAGTCACTTTGGAGCAAGTCGCGTAATAGTAAAAAGAGGACTTGTTTGGGACAGAAAAGCAGTTGTAGATAGTTTTAGTCATAATTTGTGTATTATAATTTCTAAACTCTCTTCTCAGATCGACCTGTGTTAAACACTAGGTCGGAATTAGGGCACCCCTATTGCGATAGAACGTTCCACCGGCAAAATGACCGAAAACCTGCCGTGCGTTTCGCGAACCATTACGCTTGGGTGCAAGCCGCTACACTGAAGTGAAGTACACAGCTGTACAGCTTTAATCGTTGTAATCTTTACCTGTCAATATTATGTCTCATGTTGCGCGGGTTTTTGGTCAGATAAACTATTACCAAAGGTCTGTGCGTTTGCATGGAACATAGGTCGGAATTAGGGCACCCCCCGTTAATGTTAAAGAGCCTGCATGGGGGGGGGGGTGATGGTAGTGATTACGAATTGGGCAAAATTTTCACCGCCGACTACGGATTACGAATTTTTAAAACTTCAGCTAATGTACTGATTACGAATTATGCTGATTCGGGCGGCTGCCTACGGATTACAGGGACTAAAAAGGTTTGATTACGCCTTACAAAAACAATGGCGCCTGCATGACATGACATCAAATTTCAACATGGCGGCACCCATGGATGCTTACAAAAACAAAACAGGTTTCGCAAACCTGTAATTACTGGTGAAGTGTGTTGACAACTTTCCAATGTCCTTGGTATGCTCTAAACAAGGCCTTGTACACATGTGTTTGGAAAAGTCAAGATTATGATATTTTACCTTGTCATCTTTGAATGGCAGCTCTTCCAAGTCCCCAACGAACGGCAAACGCCACACTTCGCTCCACTTCATCTCCGTCATTCTACTGTCCGTTTTTCTCTCAAACCCAGACGGCAAAACAGGGTTAAATCTCCCATATCACATCATTTCTTCGCCCCTCCTCATTCCCATTTCATTGTACGTGTGACCCGAGTTGACCCCACCGAGCGAAGAGCGTAGTGGGTAATTTTGCAAATGGCGGCGCCCATACGATTTTCACAGTCCATGTACAGGTTTGTCCCGTATTCGCCGCTTTTTCCTCAAAACCTTCAAATTATCAGTTCGCCACGGGTGTACTAAGATTGCCAGACTTCTAACAGCACAAATTCAGATTCGATATGTGTACAAATTTGTGACTAGAAGCGTTAAATCTACCGCGACTTTCTCGCCCCCCTCCCCACTTCTAGTAGCAGACGACAACTGAGTCAGCGACAGTAGACGACGCGATGTCGGTTGTAGTCGCCAGGTCTCTGTGCCGCCGGGGACAACTGTTGGTACGTCAGGGACATAAAATAATAACCCAACGGCATGAAGTTACTTTTAGAAGTACAGCATTGGCCCACCTTCATATTTGCTCCACATCTTCCAAGTCCAACGATGATAACTTCATCGGGAAGCGAGCTTTCAGCAAGAGACAGCTCAGCAGCCAGAAGAAAAAATCCCAAACTCATCAGTCCTCGACAGAAGTCAAAACCTCACCCAGAACTATCACCTTCCACGACATCGATGCCACGGATTCACCTCTTACACCAGAACAGTGGGGCATGATGAAGGCTGGAGTTAAGCACCCCCAGGACTTTGAGAGAAAAGCCATGGAACGTCTCTTCAAAAACCCCAACTTCTCCGTGGCGGCATCTCTGATGGCGTATATTGAAGAAGAAGGGCGTAAGCCCCGTTACGGTGTTCTGTATGCGTACCTGGCGGTGTGTGTGAACTGTGAGATATACGATGAGATGTTTCGAGTGTACGCAGAGTTGAGGAGGATGGGGAAGATGCTGGACCCAAATCTGCTGGCCATCCTCATCAAGGGATTCTGTGGGACACACAGGTGAGGGAGTTTGTTTGTTTGTCTGTTTGTTTTGAGGATAGCAGTCTTTTTAGGATAGCAAACATCTGGGCCAGTGTTCAAAAGACAGCATGCATAACAAAGTCAACTTTGAACAGTTTTCAAATAGTGGATTTATGTTTGCATTTATCAGCAAGAAAAAATGATTTTTTAAATTTACATTTAGGTTAGGATGTGGATACATAGTATGTTTTTAATGTCTCTTAACTTGTGTGGCAGATCTGTCTGTAACTCTTCTCTACATACAGTTTACAATACCTGTATCTGTTTGCTTTCAAAGTGACCCAAAAAATCCAGAGACCAGTACATGATTTCTGTAACTCTGGATCCCACAAATCCTACACATGGTGTGATCGGGCTGAAAGGCCTAATCACGGAGAATTGCGACATAGTCTTCCGCCACGACTCTGACGTCACTTCCGCCCGCTCGGAGGAGAGAACGCGAATTATATCAGATTAGACCACCTCAATCGATTGTGCACTTTGACTGTAAATGTAACATACAGTATGTTGAGAGTAGAGTAGACTTTTTGTCTCGGTATATAGGAAGTTCTCTTCCCCTGTGAGCCGCTCCTTGTAGTTTACTGCGTAGACATGGTCATCTTGTGGGGGTTGTCCAATGCCCGGGGGTTGTACACTACTGGGTGGCTTCTCATGTGTTTGTCCAGTCTGTCTTTAAAACTGTTCACACTTGGGGCTGTTACCACCTCCTCGAGTAGACTATTCCACCATGTTACGACCCTGTTGCTGTAGAAAAACAGCCTTTTGTTGTTGTTCACTGATCTTTTGTTTAAGCGTAAACTGTTCCCTCTTGTTCTTGTTTTTTCTTGTATGTTGTACATTGCCTGATAGGTGGAAGGAGAGTCTGGAGTTCCTGAAGGTAGTGAAGGTGTTGGGAAAGGCGTCCAGCAGACACTATAACCACATCATCACCACCGCCATGGAGCACGGGGACAAACAGCTGGGCCTGTCCCTGTTGGACGAGATGGTGTCGGCAGGCCTGACACCTTCTGACGAGTGCTATGCTGCAGTGATGAGGACGTTGACCCTAGCTGAGGAACAGGACAGGGTGTACGACTTGTTTGAGAGGATGAGAGAAGACGTGGAGTTTCCCTCTCAGAGTCTGGCTCACAGCATCAAGGAGTGGTTTGAAGGGTGAGCATATAGTACATACGTACATGTATAGTAGCCTCTTTAGCTAACTGCAATAACCGGTGCACTAGCTCAATAGGGAAGAGTGCTCACTTTGTAACTGGGAGGTCCTGAGTTCAAACCCCAGCCGGGTCATACCAAAGACACACTGCTTTCTTTGCTTAGCACTCAGCATCTATGACAAAGAGTATGGGAAGGTCTACCAGCAGGCTAGCCCCCTGCTGTAGTGCTTGTACAACTTTGTGTGGCCCAAGGGCTACAGAAACGGAGATGGGCACCACCCCTATACTCTGGGGTGGTGCCCACCCCTATACACGGGTCGGATCGCCCGCAGGCCGGAGGGCGATCCGACTCGCGGGAGGGCCGGGACTGAGGGCGATGCGGAATACACCGTGTTGTATTTTATTTGTCATACCCACCCAAGAAAACACGCCTTTCAATGCAAGATGAGCCAAAAGTTGGTGCCACTGAACCCTAAACTGCAACAACATCAATTCCAACGTCCAGATTCTGTATTCGAATTTTCGAAAGGGGCACAAGTGCGTAGGGCGAAACGTTTTATGGAAGCCATGGAAGCGTTCAATAACGGGTTCCGGACCGGGCCATACCGTAAAGTACGGCCCGGTCTGGAACCCGTTATCGAACTTTATCGCGGCCCGGGTATGATATAATACTATTTATATTATAATGTGTCAGCATTCTGGCATATCATGCTGTGATAATCCTGTTGTTTTTTGACACTAGGAAGACGAATGAGAAGTGGACAGGTGCTTTTACCTCCATACATGCCAGGTAAGCCAGTAAACATTCTGTTAACATGTCAAAGAATGACAGTATTGTGCTGACAATATTCACTGTGTCCTCTGTATGCCCTGTCACATTACACACATGAACAGAAACAATTAGGATTCTATTGTCGAAAGAGATATATTATTTGAATTAGTCGTTGAAATGTCTCCCAGCTTTATTATAAATCTTTCCAGTGTACAAAAAGTGCATTTCTACTAACACTTCCCTTTTCATATATACTGTACCTTGCAAGACATTGGGCACTTCATACTCTTGCATAAAGAAAAGAAATCAAACCCAACAATAACTATATTAGAAGTCCCAGTAGCATTAGTTGAAGATTCTCAATTTATTTTATGTTCATTTCTACTGTTTGCTACTATTTTACCATTTTGCAATGTACTTGGAATTAGCCCTCAGGCCACACCAATTTAATTTCTTGGTTAACGGATTCGCCCGCTTTATTTTTTTCTGATTTGCAAATAAAAATAAAAATTCAGAATCAACTGTAAAATGCTCATATTTTGCCCTGAACAGTTGAAAACAGTCCTTTTCATCCTAGTTGTTACAGTTATTCCATCTTTCAATGCAATGGTATCATTAAAAGTTCAAAATTCAATGTTTAAATTTAGAACCAGCCTGGTGTGTTGACTTTATGGCTATCATCGTACCATTTTGGGCCATAATAGGATGCCTAGGCCTGTTTTTATTTTTATTGTTTTTTTCGCCCGCCCGCTCCATTAATTTTTCTAGAACAATCCATTAACCAAGAAATTAAATTGGTGTGGCCTCAGGCATGAATTTGCAATGAAGTTATATTGATTCCCCCTGTAGCGGCCACTGCAGGGCCTGTGGCTCCAGGCTGGAGGGCGTTGACCTGACAGATGAAGAGTTCCATCTCCTGCACGACTCGGTCCTGAGGAGAATCATCCACGGCAAGGACATCTTCCGCTCCTCCACTCCCAAGGAGCTGGACAGGTTCTTGGAGTTCATCAGGGTGAGTCTTGGGGGCAACCACCTGTTAGCAGTGGGACGTTAATTTTTACATACTTTTAAGTCACTGCCGAAAAGTAGTGGATGCTACCTGAAAAGTATGACAGTTCTCAAAATGCACCCAGTTGCTTGTGTAACTGTTCTGTATCTGTATCTGTATCTGTATAGCCGGTATAACCGCCTTTCGGCGTAACACACCAGCTTTGCAGGCACGCGGCGCGGCGGCAGCTGGCTATATTACACCGATCGACTTGTTACACCTAACCCTTGAACTTCTAGCTCTAGACATTGTTTAAAGCTATCTATTGACAATGCCCCTACTGTACTTGGTGACAGTGAGTTCCACTCTGCGATAGTTCTAGGAAAGAATGAATTCTTGAACACCTCAATCCTTGGTTGATAACTCTGGTACTTGAATGCATGGCTATTTCTTGTTCTCTTCTGGGCTGGTATTAGGTACTTAGTGGTACTTACTGTTGTCTTGTGTGTGGTCCTCCTCACATTTGCTGAGAAGATATTTAGTAGATCCATCTATCCTAGGATGCAAAGTTGGCAGGCAGATCTGGGAGCAAGATTAGTACTGGCATTAGCATTTTAATTTTTTTTCCCTTATGTCTCCCTAGGACCAGCATGACTATGATGTTGTAGTGGATGGGTTAAACGTGGCGTACACCTACGGGACAAAGCACAAGAAATATTCCAGAACTGTGAGTATGGAGTAACAGTTTGAACAGATGTATTCTCAAAGTCAACCTTAAACAAAATGTTTATGATGGAGAATTATTCATCAAATACGTCATACTTTTGGTATACGGTATATAAATACGGTGGCTATTCAGATACAGAAACTAGTCTGTTGCACAGCAAGGGTTATATAAGCTAAATGTATGCCCTTGTATCCATAGTAAACGATGGAACTGAGGCATGTTGGTGAAGGTTAGACATCCAGGTAATATGATACGCCGAAAAAGCAGTTACTCCAGCAACTGGAAAGTTGTCAGAAAAGCAGGTTTATAAGTATGAACTATTGATTGATCAATTTGCATCATCCTTGTCTTGATTTGTCTAACTTTTGTTTCCTTTTCGACTTTCTTCACTGATTTGCATATCAATCAATAATTCGTGCTTATAAATCTGACCACTGTCAACTCTCCAGTGTCACTGACGAAAGGTAGTGGATGCTACCTGAAACGATTCCCAAATCATATCCAGTTGCTTGGGTATATGTACCGGTAACTGTTTTTTGGCAATGGAACTGTGGAGTCAGCTTCTCTATGTTGGTGTTTCAGCTGCTGACAGTGGTGGAACACCTTGTGCAGTGGCTCGGGCTGCGTGTGTTGGTCTTGGGTCGGAAACACATGAAGGCAGCGACGTCTGCTCATGGGGCCTGGAGAACATCCGACATGCAGACCATCCAACGGCTGGCTGACCTCTTCTTAACTGACGACGTGTGAGTAAGAACAACCATTTCAGCACCAAGGACAAAAAAAGGAAGAAAAAAAAGGAAAAAAGGAACAACTGTTTCAGCACCAAGGACAGGTCCAATGCTATTATTATCATTATTATTATTATTAGCCTGGAGAACATCTGACATGCAGACCATCCAACGGCTGGCAGACCTCTTCTTAACTGATGATGTGTGAGTAAAGAAAAGCCATTTCAGCACCAAGGACATGAATAAGGGAGCGCTAGTTCCACTTAATAATTCTTTCTGCTGAAATTCACTGTCATTGTTATGAAGATGATGAAAATGATATTTTCAATAGTTTGTGAACAATTTTAGTGTGGTCAATACTTCCTAACTTCTCAGTGGAGCAGGTAAAACTTGTCTGATGCAGGTAAATTTTCAATGTTACCTGCACCAGTGAAGATATCCAGAAAAAAAGGATTTCGAGCCCTGTAACTAGAGTGAGAAACTTTGAACTGTTATCAATCTCGAAGAATTACTCACAAAAATTTTTGACTGAATCCCTCTTTGAATTGGATACCAGTTTAAGTTTTCTCATCATGTATTTTGATTTTCAATGTTACCTCCAGTGCATCTTTGCAGAAAACAGTACTAGTATGCTCAAAAGAACTTGGAACTTTGAAACTTTATTTTCAATACAAACATAGCAGACAAAAGTCTGAATTGCATTAGTATTTACACACCATTGAGCTCGTTTTATATTATAATACACAAAACGTGGGTATTTAGAGTTGTAAAAGTAAATTCTTAATTTCTATATAAAACAACTGTTTCAGCACCAAGTACACACATTCTATCCCTCTACAGCTCTAAAGACGACCCGTACCTCCTGTCGGCCACCCTGAGTTGCGGTCCCGACGCCCGGTTCATCAGTTCAGACTTCATGCGGGACCATAAGGCCCTGCTGGACCCGTTCGTGCAGGGCCTGTTCCTGAAGTGGCTGCGAGGACACCAGATGAAGCTCCTGGGGCTGTCACATGGTGCACCTGTCTTCTCTGTGAGTACCACATCTTAGGTCTTGTAGGATTTTAGTCTAACTTACTCTAAGTAAGCAACCCCCAAATGAATTTCTGCACGCATGCAAAGTACAGAACTAGTCCCAGTCATCAAACTAACCACATCTTAGGTATTGTAGGATTTTAGTCTAACTTACTCAGCAACTCCAACATGAATTTTTGCACACATTAAAATTTTGCACAAATTAAAGTAAGTAGTAGTAGGTAGTAAGCCTTTATTTAAACTCGAAAGCTTGTTCGATACATACATATGACCGCTTTTCAACAAGGTCGAGGGTGAGGGCGGGGTCACGGATTACAAATCAAACCAAAATATAATACAAAATCAAACCAAAATACAAATCACATCTTAGGTCTTGTAGGATTTTAGTCTAACTTACTCAGCAACTCCAACATGAATTTTTGCACGTTAAGGACAAGTTAAAGAACTAGTCGCAGTCATCAGACTAAGTACACTACATCGGCTGATTACTACTTCTAAGTATGTACAATTTTTAGTAAATTGCAGTAATTTATGTGTTCATTTTTTTTAATTCAACACAGCCTTTTATAACATAAAATTAAAGAATGTAAAAGAACCTCACAATTCAGCCATTATGGCTACAATGTCAAGCTGTTGACAAATCAACTACTACTACTACTACTACTACTACTACTACTTCTACTACTACTACTTTTACTACTACTACTTCTACTACTACTACTACTTCTACTACTACTACACTACTATTACTACTACTTAAGATCATTCTCCTTATGTTGTGCCCAAAATGTTTGTCTTGTGTAACCTCAGGATGTCCACACGTTTGACATAGTGGTTCAGCGGACCCAGCACACCTGGCACTTCCCTTACGAGGACGGGGCACCCCGTCAAGGCCTGGAGGGACCAGACAAGTGGCTGTGTCTGAAGAGAGGAGGCTGAGAGAATGCTGGGTTTTAGCTTCAAAGTTTATCTGTGTTGGTAGAAGCCATTATAGAACAAGATGAACTGTAATTTCCAAGACAAGAAGTTTCATATGCCAGAAAGCATTTAGTTAAGCAACTGGATATGATTTTAGAAACGGTCTGACATTTCAGGTAGCATCCACTAGCTTTCGTCAGTGGCAGGAGGAACCAGACAAGTGGCTATGTTTGAAGAGAGGAGGCTGAGAAAGTGCTGAATTTTAGCTTGAAAGTCCATCTAGTTAGTCTCCACCAGACTCCTTTGCAGACTGAATAAATACATGTTTTAGAAATCAGCCTAAAAAGACTGTAGCTATCCAGGGCAGTTGGCTGGCCTCAGAGGGTCCAGTTTGCAGGACACTAATCCAACATAGGGCAGCAATTTGTATACTGGTAGTTAAAAGTCCTTCCCACAACCATACATGGTGAATACGGCCCTTGGGCCACACAGTTGTGCAATGCAGGGGGCTAGTCCACTGGTGGTGGTGTGTGTGTGTGTTCAACTCCCATACACACAGGCCACTACAGCAGGGGGCTAGTCCACTGGTAGTGGTGTGTGTGTGTTCAACTCCCATACTCTTTCCTAAATGCTGAGTGCTGTAAAGAAGGCAGTATGTACCATTTTTTAAATCTTTGATATGACTCGGCCAGCAATCGAACTCACAACCTACAATGTACAATACTGCAAGCACAATGCATTAATTTCATACTTGCTGTCTTAGAATATGAACGTCGTACAGTGTGGTTAATTACCCTGGTGAACTGATATGTTATATAAAGGAAAGATGCTGACAAGTTGAAGTCATTCCTGCCAATTTATTTTGGTAATGTACAGGTGTTTTGTGTATATATATATAATTATATATATATATATATATATTTAGATACTATTTTACCTATTTGTTAGCCAGATATCTGTTTACAGTAACTATACAGTTCTACACACGCTTTCTCCATAGTCTTTACAGACCCAGTATTAATGTTATACACAGTATACACCTTGTGCCAGTGCTCCTCACATACCAGCCGGTACAATTTTCACCCCAGACAAGTGCACCACAACCTACATTTTACCTTACTCTGTTGACATTACACTGTGATATACATTTTGTATTCCAGCTCCCTCTTTCCATCTCAAAATACACGATGTGATTTTTATAACTAAAGAATTGAATAGAAGGGCACTATTCTAAATGTAAGTGGAAGGTGGATATTTCACTTTCAGAGCAAAAAATATGACAGACTTTTAAAGTATCCATACTCTTAATTTGTAGTTTCCTGCAACAAAAATCTCCCAGATAGAAACAACAAACCTCGCCTCTTCTGCCTTGCACATACACATCAGAATTGTACAATTCAAAAGGACACACTCTATCTATCAAGTACTGCCAAAGGGCCATGATAAGGGGAATTTCACTACAGAATCAAGATTTTACATGGCAGATTCACTCTGGTCTTTGTGCTTGCAGTCAGCACTGCAAAATAGAATAAGGCCACTGTACCTTACTTGTCATTTGGGTCTTGATACTGTATATACATTATACATGACATTGTATAGATGACAGAAACAGAATACAGTAGCTAACATATGTACTAAATATCTATTTTACTAAACTTTTACTTTATCTAACATAAATAAAATTGTGCAAACGGTGGCAAGGTATCATTGAATTACTGATACATGTTTGTTTTGTAAGTGTCACTATTTTGTAATCTAACAATTCATTTCACACCATCAAAAAATGAAAGAAAAATCCGTGAGACTTTCCCAGAAAGTATAGCTAATTGTGCACCACAAAACTGACTATTTTTTTATACAAAAAGACTTTTTGTCTTTTAGAAAGAGCTGCAGTTCAATAAAATATGATACAATAAATAAATACAAGACTGCCCAAGCAGCCAGCTACACCAAAAAATAGAAGAAGAAAAAAATAGAAGTACATCTTACACACAATATGCTGTGAATACACAATATATGAAAAACAGTGAAGTAAACATTTTTTCAATTTCATTTAAACCTAACTAATACACAAAACAAGTATTAACTGCTTCTCTCCACCTCCACCAATGATTGGCAAGGAACATATAACATTTATTTGAATTCATATACAGATATATGAACTTAAACTTGGCATATTACTGCACGTGGAAGAAAACAACTTCTGACCATCCGGTCAACTTGAAGTTCTAAAACTTCACGCCACAGGAAGCCAGATTCAGTAAAGTGAATTCCCTGCCATTGAGCAGATGCTGAGGCTTAAACTTAATTTCTCTTGCACTCTTACAACCTGATGACTGGCATGCAGCAAGACATGCAGGGCTCAAAATGCTGGGTGCATGTCCACCTTAGTGCACCCAAATTAGGAGCTGTGCACCCAATTTTTCTGTGAGTGCAACCAAATGATTGCCATTTGCAGAAAAATAAAAGACGATACCAAATCTGGATTACTTCGTCCTCCCGAGGCATACCTTGCAAACAGCAAATCAAATCTATCTCAAGTCACATCAGTGGTCTTCTATTCTAATTCTCCACAACAGATCTGTCCTAGCTAGTCAGCCATAGCTACCTCTTATGAAGCAAGTTTAACCTGTAATATTTCCAACACAAGAAATCAGACTTACCAAATTTTTGACTGTACATTTCCAGTCTTTGTCAAGGATTGTGTCACATCAAATTATACAGATGACACGTGAATTGGTAAGCAGTGGATCATAGATTTGTTGATTCCTTGACAGACTGGAGTTGTACAGTCAAAAATTTTGGTAAGTCTAATTTCTTAAATTACAGTTCAAACTTGCTTCAAAATGACTTCTACTAACACAGCTGAACTTCCAAGTTGAAGTTAGCTTGTCAGCAGAACGTACTGTCTGCGCCTGCGCGAAACCCTGATTTTTCACGGTTTTCGATGGCTGTTTGGTCACTGTTGCATCATAGTTTTGCCTGTTGCAGAAGATATCTTTTCCGACATAACATTTGGGAACTACAGACAGGATGCCAACCTTATATGTGCAAATACAACCTTCTATGAGACGTTCTGCCAAAATGCTATGTACAATACATTAGAGGTTTCGTGGAGGTGCAGTACGTTCTGCCGACGTGCTGCTGAAGTTTTAAGATAACTACCAGTGCTCCTACTTCATACTTTCACCCTGGTGTTGTTAATCTCCTGCTGTCTCGCCTTCTTCTGCTTCATCCTGTGTGAGGCAAGTTTAAACCGTAATTTCCAACACAATAAATTGAACTTACCCAAATTTCCGACTGGATAACTCCAGTCTTTGTGAAAGAATGACCAATCCACCGCTTCCGTGACATGACATTATGTAGATGACAGAGATGAATTTGGGTAAGTCCAATTTCTTGTGTTGAAAATTACATTTAAACAAAACTTGCTTCATACAATGTAAGAGGTAGCTATTACTTCATATTGAGTCCTACGAGCACAGCTGAAGTTTAATGATTTCTTTTTCATACTTTCACGCCGGTGTTGTTAACCTCCTGCTGTCTCGCTTTCTTCTGCTTCATCCTGTGTGAGGCGTAGACCCGCAGGAACATGGCCAGGAACACGATGGCGATGCCGAACCCGCCCATGATCGACACCGGGTGCGCGTAGATGATACAGGACAGCAGGATGGCCAGCGCCTGAGAGAGAGAGACGGAGGGAGAGAATGAGACATAAGAAACGAAAGCTTTATTAGCATTTGACAGACTTCCGAAAAATCTGAATTATCGCTAATTTACAAAATGCATTATCAAAATTACATGGAAGATTAAAAACCTTAAGAGAACCATTTGGTTACATTGACATCATTTACAAAATAACCACGTCTCCCTTGATATGGATCCGCCGGGGAAGACGGATGCCCAAGTGTCTGGGTCTCAGATTCGCAACCTGTTATCCACCTTAAACAAATCCACGCGAAGGCCACCGTGTCAACTGTAAACCTCACTCAGGTGTAGGGACTGACATGGTCGTCATACTCAGACAATCTGTATCTATGTCTGTACATGAATCTGTATATCTGTACATGAATCTGTATCTGTACATGAATATGTATCTGTGCATGAATCTGTATCTGTGCATGAATCTGTATCTGTGCATGTATCTGTGCATGAATCTGTATCTGTGCATGAATCTGTATCTGTACATGAATCTGTATCTGCACATGAATATGTATCTGTGCATGAATCTGTATCTGTGCATGAATCTGTATCTGTACATGAATCTGTATCTGTACATGAATCTGTATCTGTACATGAATCTGTATCTGTACATAAATCTGTATCTGTGCATGAATCTGTATCTGTACATGAATCTGTGCATGAATCTGTATCTGTGCATGAATCTGTATCTGATTGCAAATAAAGATATCGAGTGATTGCCATAGACTCAAAGAACAGGCCACACAAACCTGTCGCGTGGTCATGATGATGACGAACACCATGGCTCCGAACTGGTTGATGGTGAAGAAGATGAACATCTGTCCGGTGGCGCTGCAGATGGAGTTGAGGAAGACGTGGAAGGTGAAGAGCTGGTGGCGGAACATGAAGGAGAAGGCCTCGATGAAGCCTCCCTGCTGCAGCAGCGCCGCCGACGTGAACAGGCAGGAGAAGCAGTTCACTCCGAACATCATCTGGGAAGAACACAGACGGCACTGTTATTCACTTTTCTGTTACAGTAGCAAAATTTCAGGGACATGTTCATAGAACATGTGGCGTCGGGTGGCGTAGTGGTTAGAGCAATCGACTTTGAAGCGGGGAGACCCGGGTTCGATTCCGAGTCGTACCCGGTACATGTCTGAACATGCGCCCCGACGTTGTGCCCTTGGGAAAGGCACTTTACACGACTTTCCTCACTCCACCCAGGTGTGAATGGGTACCTAACTTCGGTTGGGGAAAGTCGTATTGAGGTCACCTTGTGGCGCCGAATGGCAGCTGCACAGACCCTTGCGACAGTTCCACAAAAAAATAATTGTGGAAAAAATATGTGTATCATGTGTATTATTTGATTGTTGTAATAAATATATTGTTGTGATTTGTATTGATTATTATGTGATACCCTGCATCAATTCAGCCGTATAAAGGCTGCGACTGCACGGGTACTGTTTGGACAATAAAAAACCATTATCTTTTTTTTCTCTTTTTTTTTTTTAGAACTTAATCTTCACAGTGGCGGCAAGTGCGGGTACGGGGCAAAAGACAAGTGATTTGATAACAGTAATGTAAAATGATAAGTTCACAGGATAGCAGTTAACTGAAATTGGTTGCAAAAACCAACATTCATTTTTATGATAGCGATATCTATGCAGCTTCTCATTAGGTAGTGTACACAAACTATGAATAAGGTGTTTGCTTTTAACACGCACAAACCAAAACACACACTGTCTACCAAGGAAGAGATGGATCCACGACATAATGGAGGATTTCTCCATCTCAACTTGCACAGTTTGAACGCACAGGACAGAGGCAAATGGCGGGCTGCCATCAAGTCTTGGCATCAGTGTGCAAGCACGTCTAACCCTTGGAAGACAGGGAATAACAGACACTAAACTGGATAAATCTAGTGAGTGATGGAGTGACACTGCCTTCCTACCTGAAAGGAGGACATCTTGTACTTGTAGAGCTCTGCCTGCCAGTTTGCAGTGAAGCTGTCGAACATCATGTAGCCGGCCAGCAGCAGGATGCCGGAGAAGGTGGTGACTGTCGTGCTCTTCTTCTCGTCATCCGGGCCGTGGGCGATCAGGAACATGCTGAGACCCAGGGATATAAGCGCGGCGATGACGTACTCGTAGTACTCGTACGATTTCCTCGACACCACCTTCCCCATCAGCATCACCGGGATGACCTGCAGGGGTAGAAATACTTTTTGGCGACGTCTCAGGGAGGAGCCTAATGGTACAGTATTGTGTGCAGTTTGCAAGAATTCTAGGAATGGTACAGGCATTTTGTCCACAGGAATGGAATGTCCAGAGGCATCTATCTCTGACCCACATCTATTCCCACATTCCTGGAAACCCTTGGGGAGACCTGTCTGGCCCAGATAGCCCTACTTTCTGTGACCCCGGGGCTTGTTCACTACACACTCGGGGGAGGAGTGCAAATGATGACAAGTTGTTACGTTATTAGTATGTAGTTAAGCCTCACCATGTTGTAGTAGTGTATGTGTATAACAACTCCAGGAAGAATAGTATGTATGGCAACTCAGTCTGTACAAACTAATGGAGATCGATTCAATAAACAATTTCTAACACTGACCTTGGACGCCTTGGCTAGGACCTGCGTGGGAAAGCTGACGAACTTGAGCGCTTCGTACTGGCACCAGCTGCTCATGATGTTCGACAGGGAGGCGTACGAGTATTTATACATGGGGCAGCCGTGTCTGGGCTGCCGGAATAAACTAAGGTAGACGCCCGCTATCGTTAACGCTAAGATTCGATTGACGAAGACGAGGAATTGCGAGTTTTTAAACTTTTCTGACGGCTCGTCCTCGGTTCCGCCGTACTCGTGCCGCATGATTCGCTCCTGCAGGACGCCCCACGTGAGGTAGGAACCCTGCAGGCCGACGACGCAGAAGATCAGGACAGCCCACCGCGGGAACCGGGAGGGGGAGGGCGTGGGCGCGTCGCTGTCCGCCTGGGTGGTGGGGAGTTCGTCTGCCGTCCCGTACACACAGGCCTTCACCACGTTGTAGGTACAGCCTTGGCCTGAAAGGACAACAGGGTGCAACTGTCAATACTTTATGAAATGAAAGACATTCAGGCAATAAGATACACAAGAAAACAGTTAATCAAGCAACTTATCACGATATATATCAAGTTGCTTGAGTATGGTCATACATGTACTTGTAACTATAATGTTACTGCTGTTGTTGGGGCCAATAGCAAGACCTAGTCATCCTATAATTTCATTCATGGTACTCCAGATGTCATTCTAAATGGCAAATATAAGTATGTAAAACCATGCCTAAAGGCTAATTGCATGTACTGTACAGTGTCAAAGAAAGTAAAGAAAAGCTATTATAGAGAACATGCTAACTACTTAGTACTCTATTTCATCACTCAAGTTCTCACCAAGTGCTCATACATTTAATTAAAAACTTTAATTAAAAGATACATCTCATCACATTAGCTGCTGCCGCGCCGTGTGCCTGCGAAGCTGGTGTGTTACGCTGAAGGGCGGTTATACCGGTTATACCGATACAGACATTGGATAATCCACAAGAACATGATGCCCCACCTCCTCGCTCTAAGAAATTACTCCTCTTGATGTATCTGATGATACAGATACAGAAGCTGGTTTGGTATGCTGAGGGGCCACGTTATACCAGTTATGAGTATACAGATACAGATACAGATACAGAAGCCACCCACCTCCTCGCTCTAAGAAGTTGCTCCTCTTGATGTATCTGATGAGGATGGCTGCCGGGATGACGATGGAGGCGTAACCCAGGATGTTCAGCAGGAAGCGGAACACCCAGAAGTCCGTCAGCCCGGCCAGGGACGAGCCCTCTCCTCCCCCCCAGGTGGACTGAGCGATGACTTCTCCCAGGTCCATGGTCAGCACAACAAGCACAAACACGAAAAACCTGCAACACATGGTACAACACTTATTATTAATTTACATTATGTAGCAAGTGGCAGGACAGAGTTGGAGGGGCTGGTCAATGTTACATGAATATATGAGCGATGACTTCTCCCAGGTCCATGGTCAGCACAACAAGCACAAACACGAAAAACCTGCAACACATGGTACAACACTTATTATTATGTTTATCTTCGCAGAAGAAAAACATTATTTTTGTTAGATTTTTTTCTTTTTTTTCAAACACATAAGGTCAACGACCTAGACCAGACGACTGTCACCATGGTAACTGGTGCTGTAGCAGATACCCTGTTGTGTTGGATTATAATTTATGTACTTATGCAAGTGGCAGGACAGAGTTGGAGGGCTGGTCACCATGCATGTATATGAATGTGTTTAAGTGTAATAAAAAAAGAGCAGTAGTTTGTTGTTATACATGACAAATGTTTGACATTCTCCAAACGAATATGTGATCAGTTTTCTGGTTTGAGACCTGTGACAGTTTCTGAGACCTGTGACGGTTTCTGAGACCTGTGACGGTTTCTGAGACCTGTGACGGTTTCTGAGACCTGTGACGGTTTCTGAGACCTGTGACGGTTTCTGAGACCTGTGACGGTTTCTGAGACCTGTGACGGTTTCTGAGACCTGTGACGGTTTCTAGTTTACGATGTAGTGGTGTTTATCTTCTAATGAATTCTTAATGTGATATGGTTGTGAATAATTAACTACGTAGCCCCAAGGTGTCCACAAAATCAGTGGCCTGTAAAGTGTGAGGAGTCTAACAGAAAGCTTCCCTTTTTTATGAGGCAATATTGTCACCAGGACAAATGGGGGGGGGGGGGATAATAATCATTTGTGCACTCCAAATGCCTGCTCTGTCTCTAACGCTAACATGTTGTCTGACTGTTGAAGAACTTCAGTTGAAGAAGACAAGAGAGAATGCTGATCCTGTGCTATAGTAATGTTACATGTAAAACTTATTTTGAGCAAAGTACAAAACAGGTACTATAGTAATTAGGATTCCTGGAAGATGCAGATTTACAGTTGCTGGAATACTGCCAGAAGTTACATGACAAAACAACAACAACCAGAAAAAACAAACAAAACCTTTCATAGTGTAATGTTAACGTTAAACCTGTAAAAAAATTCTGTAACTGTTACTTGAAGTACATTATTGAATTTGTCACAAGTAACTTTACTAGTAGCCTTACAGCTAGGTTGTGTTTGAGGTACATTGGTGATACTGTGCCAAAACAATTATCAACAGCTGTTTTGAAATCCCTTCCTTTTAGAAAGTTTTATTAAAATGATCATATAAAACCTACAAACCTCAACAACATGTGCTAACATCACGATATGTGATATCCCCGGTATATCTATAATTTCCTACACTCACCCAACGCCCGCCATTACTAGCACGACCTTGGTGACGTGGCCCCTCATACAGGTACAAAAGCGAGCTGCTAAAAACGTCCCCTCTCTCCGAGATATCCGCCAACAATACACATTTTTCCGGCTACAAAATATATTAAACTTTATCTCATATATACCGAGCCTCTTCACACCCTCCACACTCACCCGGCCGGATCCCTACACTTCCGGAGACATGGACAAAACGTAGTTCTCCCTCAGAAAAAAATCAGAGATCAGACAGCGAATGATTTCTAGCCGGGAGCCAGTCGACCTGTTTTTTTAAGACGGCATACAATTTACGTCACGCGCAGATACCTGTGCAGATAAAGACACGCCTCTTTCCCCAAGGACAATAGAAACTTGCTGAACTGGTTTCCATGTTGGCGGATGAATTCCGTCAGTGCAGGTCGGAGGTGAAAGTTCACGACCCGACCGCCATTTTGTGAATCGAGGAAAGAGAAAAAATCACCGAAGATGTCCCGCGGAACTAGCGCCGGGTTTGACCGTCATATCACGATATTTTCGCCGGAAGGGCGATTGTACCAAGTCGGTCAGTTTTCCGAGTTTTTATCTGTTTTGTTTCCTTCGACATTATTGTCAATTTCTGTCGAGTTTTGTAACTTTCTTTGTGGACTTGTATGTAGGCCTCCATGAGTCAGCGCATGGACATAGCCCCCCTCCCCCATGTCTTGATATGTGTGATTTTTAAACACCAGTAAATAGTAATTCAATGACTGCCAGCAATATTTGACAGCTAGTTCTCCACATTGGGTACTCTTATAGCTGTATATACTACAATTAATTAAACCACGTCCGTTTCTGTGTAGCAACAAAAATAATTCATGAGAGGTGGAATGATGACCAGCATAAATTTTTTTGTTGATGAAGACAGTCAAAAGCAAAGCATGATCCCATAGCACACATTGAATTACATTCCCAAAAATAAATTTCAATTGTCCCAAAGTGAGGATGAACTGTCCCAACCTGTTTTTTTGTCCCAAAAATGTCCCAAAGTGTCTTTTACTAGTTTTAGTTGTCCCAGTGTAAATTTTAGTTTTCAGTGGCCTTTGGACCACCTTTAATTTCAAGCACTGCTGGTAGATTAGCAAACAGGTAAAACAGACAAACAAACAAACTCTGGATTCAAACCGTATCCCAGTTGCATCCGTACCTGATGACATTTCTCCATTACAGAATACGCCTTCAAAGCAGTAAACCAGGGAGGACTGACTTCTGTTGCTGTCAGAGGAAAAGACTGTGCCGTTGTCGTCACCCAGAAAAAAGTCCCCGTAAGTAGATGTTATGTATCAGACAACAAGACAACACTTAACATCATGTAATTCTGTCATTGGAAGAATATACAAAATGTACTTATAATCCATCAATTAATGTTAGACATCCGGGTAATGAGGTACGCAAGAAAACAAAACTATTACCAGGTTTCTCAAGAAATTTTACAAACAACTTTAGAAATCTGTCCGGTTGCTTGAGTAACAGTTTCCTTGTGGTATACATATAACAGGGGTTTTTCTAAACAGGGGAATAAGGGAGCTGCTCCCTCATGTAACCAGCCAGCTCCCTCACATCAATTTTGAGATTGAACCCTAAGTGGCTAATCCTATTGAAAAATCCCCCCTCGGTCGCTTCATTCCTTGTCATGCTTGCGATCTGCTCCCTCATGCTAAATTTTTCTAGAAAACCCCCTGTATAATGTTTTGATCATAGTTTGTCAGTTATCCCAAGGACATTATGTCCTTGGTTATTCCATTCATGTTACTGGATGAGAAGACAAAGATTTGCTGTAATAATATTCCTGGCAAGGATACATGTTTCCATGTGGTGTAATTTCAATAGTGTTCTGTTGTAGGATCTCACTCTCTCCCATAGCATATTCAGCCGTTGGGGCAGCATGATGTTTGGGAAAACGCTTTTCCACTGCTGACGATCTTCTGCCAGTCTGGCCATCTGGTTGGCTGTTTGGCCGGTCCACTCCTTTAGGTCCGAGAAGAATTGTGTGTGAAAGTGTGCCTTTCTCCTGAGGGGTCGTGTGGCACAGTAGGCTCACACCCAAGAGGTCGCGGGTTCGAATCCTGCCCATGTCACCGATCTTGTGCCCTTGGGAAAGGCACTTTACACGACTTTCCTCACTTCACTCATACGATCAGGTGGAAATGAGTAATTGTTTTGGTTAGGGACGTCCCTCGGAAAGGACGTTAAATGGAGGTCCCGTGTTTGGGAGAGCCACACCCCATGCACGTTAAAGAACCCACCACACTTATCAAAAAGAGCAGGACCCTTCCCGGTGTGAGTGGTTCAAACCTTACAGTCCGGTCTTACGCAGCTTGTACATGTACAAAACTGTTACGTGTGTTACGCCTTATGGCGGTTTATCGGTCATGAGAAACAAACACATTGTAGGATACTTAATTAGTGTTTTTTTTTACCTTTGTGACTGTTTCCCTCTTCAGGACAAGCTGCTGGATGCAGAGACAGTGACTCACATCTTCCCCATCACCGACTACATCGGCTGTGTCATGACCGGCATGATAGGTTTGTTTCTGTTTGTTCATTTATTTGCACTTAAAAATGACAAATACATGTGGCATCTGTGTGGTGTAGTGGATAGAGCATCTGACTGTCAAGCAAGGAGACCCAGGTTCAATCCCCAGGGTTGGACCTGAGACATGCACCCAGACGTTGTGCCCATAAGAAAGGCACTTAACACATATTCCCCCCCCCCCACCTCAGTTAGAGGGAGGGCGTTAGGAAGGGCATCCAGGCGTAAAAATCTTGCTCCAAAAAAAGACTTGCATTTGATGCAAGCGCACGTCTAACCCCCGTCTCGGGGGAAAATGACATTAAACTTGGATTAAAAAAAACATAACAAGTGCAAAGGTGGCCAAAGGCTTATTCTTATGTCAAGGCCCCCCTTATCAACTTATAACAATTTGAATAAATCAAATAGAGGAATATACAGTATAGTGAGTGGTTTGAAAATATTGTCACATCTTAAGGTAATGCCAATTTAAGGATATTAATCATCCTGATGAAGGCAACAGTGGTCGTTGAAGATTTGTTCCTTGTGTACCCTTTGTTGAATAAAGTTTCGCATCGTACTACTATGATCATGCATGTTGATAAAGGAGAGTCAGTGTACAAAATACTTTTTTGAACCAGGCAAAAATTAGGTTGCCCATCAGAATTTTAGGTTGCCTCACCTATAAGTTACTACTTTCCTCAAACTGAATAATGTTACATACATAAGCCTTTGACAATATTTCTAACAGCCTTTAGTTAACTGATACTAGTAATAGCCATTAATACCTAAAATTAAAAAGCATCTGCCGGATACAGTGGTGCAAGCCAAGTGGGCATGATTTTGGGGGTAGCACACTGGGCTACCTGGGTTCAAAAATAGGTTGCCCCAAGTAAAATATGGCTGCCCGGGGCAACTGGGCAACCTGGTATTTTGCACACTGAGAGTGCAGGTGGTATTTGAAAAGTTTCCTTCCATCCCCTAGCTGACAGCCGGTCGCAGGTGCAGCGGGCCCGGTACGAAGCCGCCAACTGGAAGTACAAGTACGGGTACGAGATCCCGGTGGACATGCTCTGCAAGCGGATAGCCGACATCTCACAGGTCTACACCCAGAACGCCGAGATGAGACCACTGGGGTGCTGTAAGTGGTTAAAATTTTTTTTTTTGTAGAGGCTTACTTAGTATGAACTAACATGGAAGTTCATCTGCGTCAGTAGTTACATGTTTGAAGTTAAAACTTAAGATCCAACACAAAGAAGTTTTCCCACCTAGAGCTTTCGACTAGTCACACTTCAGAGAAGCCATGTGACAAGCCTCACTGGGTCAGTCTACTGAGGAAGACCAGAGTGACTGGTCGAAAGCTCTAGGTGAGAGAATTTTTTGTGTTGGATCTAAAGTTGTAACTTTAAACATAGTTTTATTAATAAAATCAGCCTTGCAGCCAGTTTACAATGTCGACCAAGCTGAATTACACTGATTTTTACAAGTTTTTTTTACATAGTAAATACAAATACACATTTACATGACAATACATATACAGACACGCAAACGAACATGTTACAAAGTCACACAATACACAGGGCACTGAAGTGAAGTCCAGAGTCTTGAAAGTCATTGCTGCAATGACTCGTTGTACAGGCGTATTGCCTTGTGTAGGAAAGAGTTTTTCAGTCTTTTGGTGCAGGCTGCTGGTATGAACTAAGTGTTGTGGCCTAACTACTTTTGTATGAAAGCTAAAGGGAGTCAATGATCTATCCAAAGTATCCCAGCAACCAGATTTAGAACATGACTAAAACTAAAAGAGGATTGGTAATATATCTCATTGATCTGAATGAAGTTTTGATTTTCATGTAGTAATAATACAGAAGAGACGGTGCATCCCTTTTTTTGTGTGTGTATGGTTTAAAATAATTGTCATAAGTAATAATAGTTAATACAGTTTTTATTGACAGTCAAAACTGCTTACAATGCTATACTTTTGTATCAGGTTTTCTTAACTCTGCACTATCCCCGTTCCTTTGCATTGTTGCCCTACTTTCGCTCCTCTACTTTTGCATTTTTCTACAAAAACCCTGCCTCCTGTTCTGCTACAAGGCCACCATACGTTAACAATTATTCTACACAATTTATCAATTATTCTACAAAAACCCCTTCCTCCTGTTCCAGGTATGATCCTGATAGGTTACGATGATGAGCACGGTCCCCAGGTGTACAAGACGGACCCGGCTGGTTACTACTGTGGCTACAAGGCCACCAGCGTCGGAGTCAAGCAGACGGAGGCTAACTCCTTCCTGGAGAAGAAAATCAAGAAGAAGGTGGACTTCACGTACAACGAGGCAGTCGAGGTGGGTTTATATATTTATTTATTAATTGTGTTTATTGACTTCATTTTACATTGAAAAAAAAGGCAAAAAAGACAGGAACAACAGACGATAAACTAAAACACATGGCAAAAAAAACGGGAACAACAGACGATAAACTGGACAGTGTGTGAGTGGCAGCAGCATCTGGTATGCTGCACAGTTGCTGAATTGTACATTTTAGGCATCTTAACATTACATAACAACTAATCAAAAACATGATTGTATACAATTACATTGTAAGAAATTAAAGACTGCTGAAAGAGCCTGGCTGAAAGGCTGGGAGATTTTAACAGGTGTATTTGTTCAATAGGAGAGTATGGAAAGTATGAAATGGAACAATGCTAAGTACTTCCAGCCATCTTTTGTGTAAATTGCCTGTATAGAATATTATTGTGTCTCATTATTACCCATGACACCCTTCCGGTATTGACAAGAAAGCAAGGACCAGTACTTTTTGTTATATTCCAAAGGTCTGTGTTGGATACAAACCACACAGCATACACAATACAGTATACACTATATCTTTGGTACATTTAACCTGCCTGAATGTGTATGACACACACACAAACATAAAGATGTGCACGCACACACTCACACACACACACACACACATGCAAACACACACTCACACACTCACACTCACACACACATGCAAACACACACACACTCACACACACATGCAAACACACACACACTCACAAACACACACACACACACACACACATTCAAGAACACATGAATGTAATACTTTCCTTCCCACTCCCCAGACTGCCATCACCTGTCTGTCCACCATCCTGTCTGCTGACTTCAAACCCACAGAGATCGAAGTGGCAGTGGTCGACGAAGGCAACCGCAAGTTCAGGTGGGCTTCGAACAGACAAAAACTCATCATTGTCCTACAAATGTACATAGAATTAAACTGGGTGCCATCCTCCGTAGTATTCGCCCGCTCCCTAATGTCGCTGGTGCTACCACTGGGTCTGGACTTGCTGACATACATGTATGTAACGTCAGGAATCTGAAAATTCGTCCAGATTTTGAACGAGTGCGCTGAACGGTCCTACTAGTCTAAGACCTTTTTTTGGGGGGCGCTTTTGTAGGAAAGGTGTGTACATATTAGGTAAGCCGTTTGGACGTTCAAACGGCGACGTTAAGATCTTATTCTTATGTTCTGTCGCGCCGCTTGGGCTACCTCATTACGTGACGTCATCACCAGACGTTACATAATTATGGCAGCAAGTCCAAACTTGGAGGATGGCACCCAGGCTAACATAGACTGTGATTTAATAGATTTATAATGTTTTAGATATGCTGTACGTCACTGTAGGTGAGATAGCTTAGGATAGGTATATACCAGTGTAGGGATTTCTTGAGACACGTTCAAAATGATAGACTTTGTACTCATGCAATGTCAGTGATACAAATTTATTCTGCATAATTCCCAAAAGATCAATGACTTCCATGTTTGAAAAAAAACTGCTCTTGAGGTTCATTTACATGTATATATTCCCTACCTGATACTTGTAACCAAGATATGTTTTGTGAGTATCAAAAGCTTCAACATTAGTAATTATTGACAAGTTCCGCAGATGAAAACATGACGTCTTATTACCAGTCTTCATGACTACCTTTTCTGGTGTGTTTTTCACAGAGTGCTGACAGAAGCAGAAATTGACCAACAGTTGGTGAGCATTGCTGAGAGGGACTGATGCTACAGGATTTTGTACCAGTGATCTAGAAGAAACATACATGTTCTAGTAGTTCAACTACATATATATACTCCATGTAGGACGTTCTGAAGCAGGAAACTGTACACAACTTTTGTGCTTAAGTCCGGGGATCTTTGTAAGACTTGTGAACAAAATTTATTGTACAATAGATTGACACTGGTAGTGTTGGTGTCTTCTTTTTCCTGCTATGTCCACACCCTGGTTTCAGATGTTACAGTAAGGCCATGTTGATTTGAATATGTGGATGACATCCACACGAGCATGAATTTTCATCCGTTCCCAAAAAAGTCTTCTGGAGTTCCAAGAGGATGTCATCCATATAATCAAATCAACATGGCCTAAAGGTATTACTACATGTATGCCAGTCTGCTCTCTCATTATTATAGATATTATCTTCTCTGTTTCACACATATGTATTATTAAAACATTCTCCACACCACCATACATATGGACTGAGAAGTTAAGAATGATGCTCCTGAAACTTCATCTTTAATAACAGTAACTGTTGATACCTTGTGGTTCGATTCACTTGTATGTAGACAAGCTATGTTAGATGCCAATAAACAAACATCTGGCACAGGCAGTCTTTGTTTTATTTTTCTTGGTAGTCTAGTAATCATTTGTTTTACAGCCAAGTCCTACCCCGAAAAGAATGAAATTTTCCCTTTTAACAAACTAAGAAATGAATGAAGAATGAAACAGTAAGTTATATATTTAATAAGCATTTTTAAGACAAATACAGTTAATAATGATATGGGCCTTTGACCTGAGCCTGAAATAGATAATAAATAGAGTAAATAGAATAAATCTTGCTAAGTCACACCAGCTCAATTAATGTGTTGATTACTTTTGCTTGACATTGTTATACTTTTATTGTGGAGTATTTCTGTTTTGAAATGCACTAAAGTCTTTTAGAACTTATGAAGGGCCTCCTTATAAAAGGGCAAAAATGTATTATTTTCTGATTTTCATTTGCAGATTCCAAAAACCTCTAACCATATTACGTACATAAAGATCGTTGAGCAGTTTTACAATTAAATGTATGTGTGTGTATGTGTCAGTGAGTGAGTGAGTGTGTGTGTGTGTCAGTGAGTGAGTGTGTGTGTGTGTTAGAGATCTATATACATACAATGTAGGTTAGAGATCTATATACATAGGTAAGATAACAAATGTAAATCAAATAACAGTGTGATCATGAGATCTTTAACATGGAACTGACGTTTAAAACACACTGTGAATTTTAGTATTGGGTTTTGGTTGCAGAGTCGCTTGATTTTGGTGACGTCTCAGGGGCAGAGCCCTTTAGTATATAGTATATGTGTAGACTGGTTTATTGTTGATAAACAAATAAATCCCAGGACCCTCTGGCAGCCGAGATGCATTCGGCTGAATTGTTGGGTCTGGTTACAAAATACAACATTATTACGATTACAAATGCAACACACAGCTGTTTACACACATAGGGATAAAATTTAACAATTGTTTAAAATTTTAAATACACCATACAATTATTACAAATATTGAAATATCTTAAAAGAGTAATTTATCGAAAGGTTCTTAAAAAAACGTTACAGTACAGGTAAGATTTGATAAGTCCTCATTGGTACTAAATATTAAAAGAGATAAAATCTTTTGCAAACGCCTGACTCAAATGCATGTATTTGTGTATTACACCTCTCCTTTCCACTGATAAGACGAAGCTTGGGGTGCTTGTTGACAAATAAACATGCGTTTACAATCGCAGTTAGTGTCATCCCACATGGGAAACCCAGTGATACCTGACCAGTATTGCACACACAGTTTCGTCCAGTGGGTCCATCTGTGGTCAGACGGCTCACCTGGTTTCCAGCCCTGTTCAAACATAGGGGAAAGTCATTAAAGAGCTACATTGGTCGTGACAGAGAAGACAGGTGTTATGTACAGTATTTAATGGTTCATTGTACCGGGGAAATTCCCCTAGCTCTTTTCGACATGAGCAACAGTGGACCACAGCTTAACGTCCCATCCTAAGGACTGCCACTCTTGCCAGTAGCGTGTGTCTGGTGAGCGACAACAGCCGGGATTCAAACTCCCAACGTCTTAGTCCAGAGGCAGGGTCGCTAACCACTGGACTACGCACGCTCCGCGCCTAGGCTAGGGAAACGTTTAACATCCAAATGATAACAAGAATTGGGAGATCTCAGACCTCCATGAAACCATGATGATGTTAAGAAGTCAGACCTTTTCAGGAGGAGTTGAAAATCTCTCATAGATAGGCTCCATTTACCTAAACAAATTCTGATGCACCGTGTTACCCTTTTGCAATCATCTTTCTTTATCGTCCAGGGGAATATTACCAGCTGTCAGCTGTTAACGGGGTTATGCAATGAAAAAAAAACAGCTTGTGATACATTGTGATTAATGATTTTGAAGGAATCATGACTATGAATCCTGCGGGCCATGAAGAAACACACACACACACACGGATGGACACACGCACGGACATACCCCAAAAAAACAATTTTTTATGGAGATTAACAACATACTAAGTAATTTTATGCATTAACTGTACTCTTTTCATAGCTACATGTTCAGATTTAGATGAGAATTTATATACATAATTGTACTTTAGATCTCTGTATATTATGTTGTTGTCTCTGTCACGTGTATTTACAAAATGTATGTCTAAGGGCTCTGCCTGAATTAAACAATGAATAAATAACACAAATATCACATTATGAAGAGGAACTTTTTCCTCTAAGAATAAGGAACGACAGCTTCTATTTGATGTATTTTTAGGTTACTGAGAGTCTATCTAAACGTACCTTGTAGTATCCCAATGAAGCCCCATCGTCCCAGATCCAGCGTCTAATCCAATGAAAAATGATCACCTCCCTGTCGCTCAGGCCGATGTAATAGGGCCTGTTTTTGCCTTCCGTGCGGACCAGGTTTCTCAAAGCGGTGTCCAATTCTCTCGTTTTAGGCATGGCTAGCCTCGCTCCCTGTCCCTTGCAGGCTTCTGAGGCGGCGTCGTAGCTCATTTCTCGGAAGTCGAGCCGGAAGCAGGCCCCGGAGACGAGTTTGTATCCAAATCGGCAGTCGTCTCTCTTCGCAGCTGTGAAAGTGAAGGAAGAAGAAAGTTTCAAGGTTAGGCCATGTTGATATGATTATATGGATGACATCCGCGCGTGCATGAATTTTCGGCCGTTTCAAGCAAAAAATTTCAACCATACTGTAAATCGTACAAAACAGTTGCAAAATGGGCATACCGTAAGTTGAAAAAAAAAAACATAGGAAAACGATACCAATGTCGTAGAATTCCAAAATCAAATGAAAAAGACGAAAATGTCCAGAACTGAATTTGAAGACTAGATTATTCGCCAAACCATACTCTGAGTCATTTGTTCAACCTTCAAAACCACGTAGATTTCATAATGAAGGAAACTTTTTTTTGCCAAACTTTTTTTCTTTACACGTTCGCATCAGTTTTGGGGTTCCCAGAGGATGTCATCCATATAATCAAATCAACATGGCCTTAGGTACAGCATATATACCGTTATGGTCAAATTACACAGTATTGCTGGGCGACCCCCAAAGTCGATGACGTGGGTCCTGTGTTATGTGAAAGGTAGCCAGGAGCAAACTGCGCCGTGTGGTAGAAATATATCAGATTTTAGACTGTAGGATTTGGATTGTGTAGTTTTTTCCTGTTCATGTATAAATATGCCACATTACTCAACTGCGTTTCAGGGTGAGCTGAGTCTGCATATAGGTCTCACACATATTGAAAAGAGTATTATAAGGGCCCTCCCCGGTGTAAGAGTTCAAATTTAAACCTTACAGTCTGTTCTCAGGTTTGACATCTTGAAGAGGTGATAGTCACCTGTTATGTGGTTAAGTTTCATAGATTATAAACAATAGGAAATATCACACCTTCTGGGTTCACTTGACAAATGGGTTTTATGTCATCCATGGAACATGGTGCATCATTCCATGCCGTCCCTTTATATATGTAGTGTGCGCAATCCTCATCGTTTTTGTCGTTGTTGGGTTCTCCTGGTCCCCATGCGCTGTAGTGTCCCAGTCTGGTACCGTCTGCCCACTTCCAGTCTACAGATACCTACAAGCCCAGAGAAGAGCAAGAAACAGTCATGCCTTCAAATATCAGAATTATCAACCAAGAATTGAGGTGTTCAAAAACTCGTCTTTCCCCAGAATTATCGTAGAGTGGAACTCGTTGCCACCATAAGTACAGTTGGGACATCATCATTAGAAAGCTTTAAACAACTCCTGCAATTAAATGTGCAAAGATTGAGTGTAAGAAGTCGCTCGGTGTGATATAGCCAGCTGCCGCCGCGCCACGTGCCTGCGAAGCTGGTGCGTTACACTGAAGGGCGGTTATACCGGCTATACAGATAAGCTGGTGTGTTACGCCGAAGGGCGGTTATACCGGCTATACAGATACAGAAGCTGGTGTGTTACGCCGAAGGGCGGTTATACCGGCTATACAGATACAGAAGCTGGTGTGTTACGCCGAAGGGTGGTTATACCGACTATACAGATACAGAAGCTGGTGTGTTACGCCGAAGGGCGGTTATACCGGCTATACAGATACAGAAGCTGGTGTGTTACGCCGAAGGGCGGTTATACTGGCTACACTAATACAGATACAGATACCTCCTCGCTCCTCTCCAAGCCCAGCCAGAACTTGCCATACTCATCCTCATCATTCTTCAAGGAGACCAGGAACTCGTTTGTGCTCGCATCTTTCGGCATGGCGAGTGTCCCACCTTTTTTTAATTGAAGAAACAGTAAAAAGAAAAGGACAAAGTGGGACTGCACTCAAGTTATACACTATAGTATTTAACTTAAAATGGAAACAGATACATGTGAAGAAAAACTCCCTCCCCATTCAATATTATGTAAACAGCAGTACTAAATTATTGCTAACCAAAGGAATTACAGCTGGAAACGTTTCGTATCTCTCATATAAGCTTGAGTAAGTAACATTTTGCCACAGTCGTCAGAGGGTATCGTCAAGGAGCCTCTGAGACCAAGATGAAGTCGAGCACTTTCAAAAAGACTAATCTAAATCAATGGCCAATTAGATGGGCAAGGTTGGCAAAAAAATGTTGCTCTTTGCTGGTTATAGTAACTTATACAACGGACAATGAAGTATAAAATGAGAGATTGAGTTTCCGAATCCTACCTTCAGTGCGGCAGGTCCAACGTGCGTCGAGAAAGTTCATTTGAGTCTTGAAGGCCTTGTAGCAGATGCCACTTCTCAGCTGGTAACCATTTCGGCATACTGGTGTGGTTGTCACAACTGAAGGCGTGGTTGTCACAACTGAAGGCGTGGTTGTCACAACTGAAGGCGTGGTTGTCACAACTGAAGGCGTGGTTGTCACAACTGACGGCTTAGTTGTAACAACTGACGGCGTGGTTGTCACAACTGACGGCGTGGTTGTCACAACTGACGGCGTGGTTGTCACAACTGACGGCGTGGTTGTCACAACTGACGGCGTGGTTGTCACAACTGTCGGCGTGGTTGTCACAACTGACGGTGTGGTTGTCACAACTGACGGCGTGGTTGTCACAACTGACGGCGTGGTTGTCACAACTGACGGCGTGGTTGTAACAACTGACGGCGTGGTTGTAACAACTGACGGTGTGGTTGTCACAACTGACGGTGTGGTTGTCACAACTGACAGCGTGGTTGTCTTGGTTGGCACCATTCTTGGGTTGGTTGTCGTCTCTGTCATAGGTGTGGTTGTTACGGCTAGCGGCGTAGTCGTATTTGCTCTTTGTGACTAGAGAGGGTACACGAGGAAACAATTTATCAAACAATCGGGTATATTTTTCAAAATTTACTAATTACCTGGATGTCTAACCTCCATCGACGTATATCTTTAAAAAGGCGACTTACCGGATAAATATCGGACGTGGCGGTGAAATAAATGACAGGAACAACCACTGAAGTAATCAACAATGTCAGTGCAAAGGTGATGAGGATGACACGGAGTAGATAGGAGCGGAGGAATGTATAACATATGGAATCTGTGGAAAGCCAATAATCAACAGTTATTAACCGGTTTCCTATTCCTAGGATGCATAGCACCAAGGGTAAAATTTCCCAGGCTAACTAACGCCAGGGGAGGGGGGCAGAATTATGTGTTCCTGTGTTGGTCCTACATTCGTTGATGACAGAATAACAAAACCAATGAAGGTTGATCACTTAATATTGATATTCTACAACAAAAGTTGTATCCTCTTTTCTACTAACAGACGTTATAATGAGAGAGAAACAATACCTCCATTTTCTATGGAGATATTGATATTACATAATAGAATTAATAATATCAACATTATTAACCGGTTTCCTATTTAATGTTAACTTGATATGCAACAAATAGGTTTTTATCAAA